GATGGGGGGTTTGGGTTGCAGGGAAGGGGAAAGGGAAGGGGTTGGGGAAGGAAGGAAGATGGTTGTTTGTTTTTTTTTAATATATATATGTGTATATAAAAACTAAATTATTATAATATTTGTAATACATAAAAAAATTATTTTTTTGCCACGTGGCACAAATGTGGCAGCCACGTCAGCTCTTAACGGATCAATGAATGGAAAATGTAACAGATGTATTATATTGAAATAAAATAGTACTTGAGGTATGAAAATGAAATGTTTTGAAGATATTGTATGAGGTTGCAATAAACCTCAAACATGAGGTGGTAAAGTGAAATTTACCCTAAAAAAATGATGGCAAAATGAAATGAATGGGTGCCAAAAGAGTGAGTGGTTTAGGGTTGGTAGCATGTGAATGCAACTAGTGGGTCAGTGCCGCTCATAAGTAAGTCATCACCCCTTTTTTTTGCGAAGATTCTTTTCCCTTCTATTCTCATACCATTCCCTTCCCTCTTCTCACATATTGCTTTTTGTCTTCTTCTGACTATTAAAAAAACTAATACAAAACGTTGACGTGGCTTAACCATAACCATTCAAATAAGAGTGAAGGGAATGGGAGGGAGACTAAGAGGGGAGAGAATCATGTTTCTTTATTTGCTGCTTGTATTATTATGACTAGCCTTCATGCACGCGCATAAGGCATTTTTTGAATCACAGCATGCTACGCACGACTTACATGTTTTAAATGTATTTATACATGTAAATTAACAAAAGGAAAGTCAAATATTTGAAGTAAATGAATAATTTTAGATCATGTTAGAAGAAACTTCTCATAAACTAATTAAAGCAATTGAATTCATATAATAAAATTGGTCTCTATATAATTTACATTAAGAATAGAGAAAATAATATTTAATAAGCAATTGATTGAATCACATTATTACTAACCCATTGTAAGACTAAGCCCACCACTTCTTCCTTAGTGTAAATAATATCGTTTGTTAAAATAATCATTTGACAACTAATTTGATCACATTATTATCCGCGTGCGAAAGACCTTTTTTATAATCGGCATTATACGTCTCTTAAGATGTTTTGAATGTGATTAAAAATAGAGCAAATAATATTTAATAAACAACTGATTAAATCACATTATTGCTAACCCATTGTAAGGCTAAGTGACACAGTCCGATCTGGAATGTCCACTAGAACTCCTAATCGAGTTGTGCTGGGTGACACCAGAAAGGTGATGAAGCCATAAAGTGTGATGATGTGGAAAAATGTGAATAAATTTAAACCTAAGAGTGCTTAAATACTAGAGTGCGCTGGTGAGCAGGAATGAACCCACTTCACACGTGACGTTAGAGCATAAGTAAGTACAATGGAGTAAATAAGAATTATACCCTCAAAAGTAACCACCTATCCTGAGATTTGCCAAGAATCTTCGTCGATACGAACTTTCAGCAATTAAAACTTGGAGGGGCGTAAAACAGAAAGTGTGAGTGGGCAAAAACAAAGCTTTTTAAAAACCATTTCAATTATCAAATGTAGTAACCCCTCGCCGTAAAACCTGTATAATTTCTCAAAAAATAGAATATATACATATATCGAAACCATACTCGAATTAGCAAAATCTACATATATGCCATGCCTCATGGTTTATACTTAGATTATGAGTTATTATAGTATGCATAAATGTGATTTGACGCTGTGGACGCTCAGGTATGTATCAAGTGAGTTATAGATTGTTTATGTAAATTGATGATTATGTGAGATGTGTTGAGAGCTCATAAACCTGCACCCTAGTGTTAGTGCTCCCGCCCGTGGTTAGGGCACGGTCTTTCACGTGATGTTCACCTTTTGCACTATATGCTCATCTTGGATCCAAGTTAGGTGCACAGTCCTGTCGTACAGACCACTATAGGTGGTTCCGAATCGTAGGTGACCTGTGATTATTTGCACAGTCTTCACGTGATCGTAGCATTTTAGCGTATTTATTTACACCCAATCTTGTTGTACAAACCATGTTAGATAGTTCCGACTCGTGTGCAGGTATATTTGTTAAGATGTGGATTTGAGCCGTATAGGTCACGTTAGGTGACTCCGGCTATATGGATGAGCTCTAGATTCAGTCGTACATATCACATTAGGTGATTCGGCTGAGATATCATTTGCATTGATTGATATCACCTGACTTACATATTTTATGCTGAGTTTAAACTAACACACCCCGATTCGGAATGTCAACTAAGATTCCTAATCGAGCTGTGCTGGCCGACACCAAGAAGGTGACGAAGCCATAAAATGTGATGATGTGGAAAAATGTGAATAAATTTAAACCTAAGAGTGTCCTAAATACCAGAGTGCGAAATCAAGGTGTGATGGCCGTCACATAAGGGTGACGACTAGCACGCCTTGATTTCGGTCGGGGTGTGGCACTAAGCCTACCTCTTTTTCCCTTAGTGTAGATAATATCGTTTGTTACAAAAAAAAAAATATATATATATATATATTTGACAACTAATTTAATCACATTATTATCTGCGTGCGAAATATCTTATAACCTGCATTACATGCCTCTTAAGATGTTTTGAACGTGTTTAAAAATAGAAAAATTGAATTACTTTATCACTAGCCTATTGTGATATACTAATTATTATTTAAAAAAAAATCTACCAAAAAAATAATTATTAAAAAAAAAACACTGTTAAAATTACAAAAATATCCCTGCCTTATTTGATGCATTATTTTAGGATGCCTTTGAAGGTTTTTGTCTTAGGGGCATTTTTGTCCAATTATTTTGTTGAAACTTGGTGACACCAAATCACTGTTCACCTTTTGCATTCTCTTTATATATAGATTCATGACACTTCGATGTCACCTGTTACCATATTCAATATTGATTATGATCTTCATGAACATGTAATCACACGATTGGACTAAGTTTCACATAACAAAAATATCTTTTACAATCAATGCATAATTTTAATAGTTTGTTGTGAATTTAAATAATGTAGCGTCACTGACTGCATGAGAATATTTCTCAAAAGTCCGGATCACATTATTTTCTAACTGCTTTCACAAGTGATTGATTTGTACATCATTTACTGTTGGGGGCTTTGGGTCACTGTTCTAAAAATCTCCGCCTAGTGCCGCCTAGGCGTTAGGTAGCTGGCTACCGCTCCAATTAATGCCTAGGCATTTAAAAATTAAAAAAATGCGTCTAGAATGCCTAGGCACCCGCCTAGCCTACCTAGACCCACCTAGGTTGCGACTCACTTAAACGGAAAATAGATAACTTTCATTTTGCATATTATTTTTTTTTAATAAATTGTAAGAGACTTGTTGCATATTTAAATGAACATGCATTATATCCTTATTCCTCATGTTTTCATTATGTTCCAATACTTCATAATATATATGTCATTCTATTTTGTAGTTTATGATAAATTATATATATTTTAAGTATAAGCAGACACTTATTTACACAAAATATAATAGATTTACTTAAATCCGCCTAAGCTCTGCCTAACCGCCTAGGCACTAAGCCCCAGGCCGCCGCTCAACTAGTGCCTAGTGTTTTTTAGAACCTTGTTTTGGGTCAAAAGGAAGTGTCGGAGTTTGGCAGAGATATGAAAGGGTACCACAAGTTAAAAAGCGTAATCATTTAAGAATTTGCTATTGCTGGAAACACTTGTGCTATAAGAGCTTTTATTAGAAGCATGTCAACCTCAATAAAAAAAAAATGCAGATGCTACTTAGAAAAGAGATTTGGATCTCATTCGGATTCAAGTTGTGAGATCTTAAGGATTCTCACATTCTAATGATTTATAGTATATCGTGCGGTCAGAAATTATTTTTAATTAATTTATTTAAAATTAACATAAATAGTACCTAACGAAAATTGACCGTACAATGTATGATGAACGATCATAATGTGAGGATCCCTATGATTCCCACAAAGAGGATCTGGAGAAGATCCTCATCCTTAGAAAAGCACTTGAGAGCACTTTAACATGGATAAGGATTGTCTGCCCTCCCACTTCCATTGCCTTCCTGTTTTGTGTGGTCACAGTCAACATTTTATATTGTTTTTTTATAGAGGTAATAAGACAAAAATGAATAGTAATATAAAATGTTGACGTGACTTAATCGTGACCACACAAACAGGAGGGCACGAGAGGGCAGACAATCCTTGTCCTTTAACAGATGCCTCTTATAAAATTTTACGATCCCTTTTGTTTGCATAAGTCGAGAAAGGCTTTTTAGCCAAAAACGGTCCTTAAGATTTGCGTAATTCTTCACTTTGGTCTTTAAGATTTGAAATCAATATAAGTGATCCCTGAGATTGTTCATCATCAATCATTTTGGTTCATCCATGAAAAATCTCCATTAAATAAGAATAAATAACAAAAAACCCTCAATTTTTTGTCAAATCATTTTAGCATATTGTTTGTTAAATTGAGGATATTTTTATCATTTTGATCCTCATTTAACATAATTTTTCAGGAAATGACCAAATTGATTGATGGTGAACAATCTCAAAAACCACTTCTATTGATTTCAAATCTTAGAGACCAAAATGAAGAATTATGTAAATCTCAAAGACCATTTTGACTAAAAAACCATCCAAAGAAATGATCTATTGTGAATAATGATGCAATGTATAACGGTCCTGTTGAATTCACACATCCATGAAAACCAATGGAAAGGCTATTTCAAAACTTCCTGCCACACGAATGCCGCTACAATGATATTTATGTTGTAAGTTGGTTTCTATCCTATTTTAAGGGATTCAAATTTCATAAAAAGAAATTGTAGCAATAATTTATCAACTTTAACCCAATTGAAATAATGATCATTTAACTAAAAACTCATGATCATTGATCCCTTAACTCCATAAAACGTGCAACTATAGTCATTTTCTTCAATTTTGTTAAAACTTTCATTAAAATGAGTTACGTGTCACCCACATGAGGCTGAATTGAGGGCAAATATAGAAAATCAAATGAGAAAAATTGTAGCAATAATCCTTCTACTTTAACTCAGTTGTAGATATGATCATTCTTACATAACTCAATTTAACATAATTCTGAAAGATTTAACAAAAAGGACCATACTTGCATGTTTTAATGAGTTAAGAGACCTATGGTCATGAATTTTTAATCAAGAGACCATTGCTCCAATTTGGTTAAAGTTAAATGACCATTGCTACAATTTTCTCAATTTCATAATACCAAAATGCATGTATTTTCATCAGACCGTTGTATCAATACATGCATCCATGCAAACAGTTGCATAGCACCCTAACCCTAAACCTTCTTGAAGTTTGGGGTTTTCACTTGTCAGCGAGAATGTCGAAGCCACTCTCTCAAAAAGGGAGACGAAACGCCAATTTGAAACCGATCCTTGTTTTACCAGCATCCACAAATTCTCAACTCCCACACAAGAAGCAGCTCCAAGGTCACCATCGACAAAACATGAATAAACTAATCCGTAGGGGTATGCTGTGTAAAAAAGTAAACCTAGGGCATCCATAAAAAGCTCGGTTCAACTTCTACTTCCACAGGCGGCAACAACTTCTGCATCCACATTATTGTAAAACAAGCTCAATTTACTTATTGCAACAGCCTCTCCAAATAGTGATGCTCTTGTAGATTTCAATATACGAACTTCAACGTAATCACCCACTACGGGATTCCTTTCCTCATTTGAATCAGCATCTCGATGTGGTAACAGTACGTTAGCAAAAGAAACTCTATGACCTCTATCACTTTTGCCCATGAGTTCTGTATCCGGAGCTCTCTTGTTAGGTCCTTCTACTAAGACAAGCTGGGTAGTTCCCACCTGTGAGTCGTAACACTGACCTGTGCTCTTACGGAAAGCCTCGATAAGTTCAGTCAGCCTCCTCTGCTTCACATCCTCTGGAACATCATCATCGTAGTTTCTATTTGCATGGGTTTTCTCCCTCATGCTATATGCAAACATGTAAGCCATGTCGTAACCAACAGCCTTTACAAGACTAAGTGTGTCTTCATGGTCCTCCTCCGTTTCCCCACAAAACCCTGTAACAAGAAATAAACATGTTAGATGGGGAAACAATGCATACGCTGAAAGAAAAATGAGATATTGCAGCTTACAATCATCTGGTAACCATAAGAACATGCATAAAAACAATCTTGGGCAAAGAAGGCATGCTAGTGGATACATGTGGAAAATTAACAAGAAACAACAATTCTGCTTTTAAGTTCAGATTTATAAAATCTAGATCAAGAACTGAAAGTCTATTATAAAATTATGTAAGGACATTGAAAAAAAGTGAGAATACGATGCAATTCCTGAGTTAGACAGTAACCATTTTACAAAAAAAGCAAGTAGCATAATCTTGAGAAAACTAGAAAACAATCCACATGAAAATAGGACAAACGTAATTAACAGGTTTGCTGGTGGGATTCCCCAAATCTGGATACAAGAAGTGGTTGAGAACTCTGAACTTTAGTGTAAACAAACATGAACCCACAGGTTAAACATCAAAAGGGAAAGAAAAAGGCATGCACAAGTCTAAGCTGAGCCCGAAGGATCAATTAACCGATCTCATGTGCTGGTAGCGTCCAAAATAAAAAATCGAAGTTGGTCATAAAATTCTGATATCTCATAACAACCTTTAAAGAAAGAAACTAGATGTTGCAAGTAAAGCCCTCCTTTCAAGAATATTTGATCACTACTATTACCTTGTAAAAGATTTCCACTGGGCACCACAAATCACACATACAGAAATATAGTAGACATAGAAAACAGAAGCTGAAAGTTTCTTCTCACCGAAAGTTGATTGCAAGTTTTGTAAGCAAGATTACCAGAATATATAAAACATTGATAAGAACACTTGCCACATATGAAATCACTGCTGATGCCCACATCTGGGATAATTCTCCGTATCTTCTGCACAAGATCTAAGTATGCCTCGCGGGTATAACCACGACGCATCCTTTCTAGCACTGCGCTACTCCCAGTTTGTGCAGGCAAATGGATGCTTCTGCAGATATTAGGTCTGTCTCGCATTAAATACAGCAACTCATCAGGGAAATCTTTAGGGTGTGGGGATGTGTATCGGAACCTCATCTCTGGATATTCTGTGGAAAGTCGATCCAAGAGATCAGCAAAACGCGAACCAACTTTCTTCACCTTGCACATGCTGGAAAAGCCTTCACTGTATCTCCAATTATTTCCTGTTTCAACTTCCTTTTCATTCTCAGAGGCATCATTGTAGCTGTTTACATTCTGGCCTAGCAGTGTTACCTCTTTCACGCCTTCATCCCAAAGCTCTCCCACCTCCCTCACAATAGATTCCACAGGACGTGACCTCTCTCTGCCTCTTGTGAAAGGAACAATGCAAAATGAGCACATATTGTTGCAACCCCTCATAACAGAAACAAAAGCACTAATTGAATTTTTGGAGATTCGAACTGGACTAATATCAGCATAAGTCTCTTCCAGCGAAAGAAGAGTATTGATTCCTTTCTGACCATAGTCCACATCTTCTAATAATCTTGGCAAGTCTCTGTACGCATCAGGCCCGCAAACCACATCAACCATTTTGTCTGAATCAAGTATCTTGTCCTTTAACCTCTCCGCCATACATCCCAAAACTACAACTTTTGGAGGACGTTTGGACTGCGACCTCCCTATTTTAACATTGTCCTTCCATTCCCTCTTAAGAAACCAAAAATAATTAAGCCGATGCCACACCTTCTGTTCCGCATTGTCCCTGATAGCGCAGGTGTTGATAAAAATAACCTCTGCTTTCTCAGGAACATCAACGACTTCACTATACCCAGCATTCTTCATAATAGACAGAACGATCTCCATGTCATTAATATTCATTTGACACCCATAAGTCTCGTGATAGATACGACCTATTGGAGCAATTTCAGCTGCAGTATCATTCACATTCCTATACATGAAAAAAAAAAATAAAAAATAAAAAGGAAGAAAATCATAGAAACAAAAGCTAAGCATGAGATACAGTGTGCACGACATATAATTCGGGTGCAAGAACATCGAAAGACATTGATCAACTCTCCTCTATGAACTATCCGGACAATTTCTCCTACAAACATGGCAAAACATCACAAATGCACTAGCATTGCTCACATAAAAATTTCAACTTGAACTTGTATCTCTTATAACTCCACAGCCAGCTAATTTTGGATGTTTAAAAAAGCTGCTTTTGTGCAGCAGATTGTACATCAAAGATCCTTACTTTAAGCCCTTCTAAGACAAACCAATTCGAATCATTGCATAAATTCCCAAAAAATTAACAACAACATTGTAAGACACTGTGTGTGGGCGTGAACTGTGGACTCACGGAAGCTGGGCTTCAGCACCGGCGAGAGCAGCTTGAGCGACGAAGTGGCGGAGGCTGGGGCCACCGGACTGGCCGGAGAGAGAAGCATTGGTGCTGGAATTCGAGAAGTTTCTGGAGATACTGCGGCCAAGACTCCTCCTTTGCGGGTGAGGCGGCAGCTGCTGGCGGTGGTGGTAGCATTGGAAACTGGACTTCTCCGGTCCCCAATTGAGGAACCTCAGAGTGAAGCGGCACGGCCTCTGGAGCTTGAGACGCAGAGCGCAGTGCGGCTGGTTCAGGATCGAGGACAGGGATGACGACAACGACGACGCCATAGGTGAGATTGTGTTCGCGCTTCTCGGTTTTATGCGTCAGAGAGAATTGGATAGGGCCATAGGGGTTACGAATACTGTCAGGAACCCGGTGATGGTGTGAGAGACGACACGTCGTTTCAATTGGGCCGGCCCTACAAGGTTTCTCACTTTTGTCATTTGAGAATATCATAAATGGCACCTGAACTTTCAGTTTTTTACAATTACCATATGAACTAAATCTTTTTTACAAATAAACATTCAAACTGATAAACTTTATAGGCCCTGTAGGTCCATCACCAACATAATCGATATTGTTTTAAATTAACTACCTATTATTAAGTGGTGGATAATCGTAGTTTGTCATCAGTTGTCCCTCTTTTTTAAAAAGAACAAAAATCACCTATTACTGATTGGATATTAAGTGTTGGGTTTATAAAAAAAAAGTCTTAGTGATATTAGGGGTAAAAACTCCCATATATTGATTGGATATTATTTCGTTGTATGATCGATGTGTGATTCAATTATTATCCAACCCAAACTTCATATTTTGTTACGTTTTGGCATCCAATCTGCTCGATCACCTTATCTATTGTGCCACACATGACACGAAGCTCAACTTTTTGTAGAAGGGGATGCGACCCGCTATATGTAAGACTTTCCTTGTGTTATGGTCTTTGTTTTTCACTTAAGAGTGATATTAGACGATTAAATTTGTAAACAAAATTTTATAAATTAAATAACATGAAAATTGATGATTGAACTATTACTTAAGTATTGATAAATATGCTCATTTTATATCAATGACACAGCATTTGGTTTGCAAATTTAGTTTAAGTGGACGTGTGACATAGGTGCCGAAGGGTACAATGGTCTAAAATTTGAGTGCTTAATTGCAAAATCTCTTGATTTCATGTGGTAATTTCACAAAAATGAACATGTTTTAGGTGCTATTTCTGCAAATCTTCCAACATGGAGTATACCAAAATCATTTCCAACTGGAAGCTCAAACTCAGAAACTGAAACAGAAAAAACTGAACAAGTCACAACAATGGAGAGGGTGAGAGCCAGTAATCGTCTGCTCAGATACTCCTGCAATAAGTCACTCTTTGATCGTCGATATAATCCCAGTTCTCAGAATTCAATCCACAACTCCCCTTCGGGTAATTCAAAATCCAAAAGCTCCAATTTTTCTTATCGCTAATTTATTTATTTATTTAATTTTTGATGTTCTAGCTTTTTTGTTAGTTCGTTTATTTGTTTATTGATGTTCTAGCTAAAATTGCTATGAAAAATTTAAGGCATGTGATTATTTACTATGGTTGAGAAATGCTTCATTTGGTTGATCGGGGATGGCATTGAAGAAAATGTAAAGATGAATTTTTGCTTTGTTTTTGAGTTATTGGAGTTCAAAGATTGTGTTTAATTTGTTAAACTAATGATTTTTAGATTAATTTCTTGTAGAAATAATAAGAAATTGAACTCTTGAATAGGTTATTCTCATGGTTTTGTCAACAAGTGTGGAGATTTCCATCTCTACAATGGTAATCACAAGTGGAGTGTCCAGACATGTTTCGGATTCTTAAGATATCGGGGAGAAACTTTTCGGGATTCTGTCGAAAAGGGTAGTCTTGACTCCCGGTGCCGAGGTTTTGGTTCATTGGCGGCGAAGGTTGAGAGGAACCCGTCTTTTTCCACGTTGAATGCTGATGATATCAGCTATTTTAAGGGAGTATTAGGGGAGAAGACTGTAGTTCAAGAGGAAGAGAGGCTGGCCATTGCAAATACAGACTGGATGCACAAATACAAAGGCTCGAGTAAGCTTCTGCTGCAACCTCAGAGCACTGAGGAGGTTGACTTCTTCCTCTTCAGTAGTCTTATTATTACCATACAAGTTTCCAGGATTCTTTTAACTTTTAAACTTTTAAAAGTGGGACTGGCCTTCTTCCTACCATTGTGGTGAAGTGTGGAAGCATGAATCCTCATTGTTGTGGGTTCGAAGGCTGGTATCCTCAATGGAAATATGATCATACACGTACACAAATCCTTGTTCTTCCTTCCAATGAGGTGTTACAAAATACCTCTTTTTTAAAAAGCCACTCAGTACTATGGTCTAGTGGTATTCCTCTTCATTTGTAAATGAGAGGTCTTAGGTTCTATTCTCGCCAATGGCGAATTTGAACCACATTATTGCTAGCCCATTGCGAGGCTAAGTCCACCCCGATATTGCCTTCTGTATTTTAAAATATATTACCAAATTAAGGGGTTTTATGCATTTATTTCTTCCTTGCAGGTGTCACAAATTCTTAAATATTGTAACTCCAGATGCTTGGCTGTTGTTCCCCAAGGCGGAAATACTGGTCTTGTGGGCGGAAGTGTTCCAGTTTTCGATGAAGTAATGCGGTTTGTTCTGCTTATTTGATGGATGAGTGGTTGCTGATGGAATTTTCTACCATCTGCCTATATATAAAAAACAAAAGCTGTATCTGAATGTTTTGTTGAGACAGATTTTTATAGTACGCATAATCTGTGTGGTTTCGTAAAAAATTTTCACCTGAATAACCTTCGGTGGTGTTATTTTGCAGGTCATTATCAATATGAGTTTGATGAATAACATTATATCTTTTGACCAGGTAGACATACAGTGATATTTATTTCTTTCTGGGATCCAACAAATTTTTAAGTCAATTTTACCGATGGTTGCGACAATGGAAATGCATGCTTGTAAAGTAATTTTCTATTGCCAACTTTTCAGGTGAGTGGTATACTGGTATGCGAGGCAGGATGCATATTGGAAAATCTGATGACTTTTTTGGACAACCAAGGGTAAGTATCTATAATTTATAACTTTCTTTGCTGATAGGACCTGCACTTTCCTAATATCTCTACCAATATGCTAGGATCAAATGCTATAGAACAGAGATACAGTTTTTATTTTTTAGTTATATATCCTCCCTTATAACCTCGTCCTGACCTGCCCACTGCCCTTTCCCATATTCGTAATTAAATGCTTCCTTGTACAATTCTTACCTCTGGTTGCGCAACTTGCTTATAATTCAGTTTTGGCATATATACTGTTTTGAACTGTTAGATTGTTATCAGGCACATTTCCCCTCTTTTTAAATTACACCTGATCGAAATCTTGGTAGTTTTATCCTTGTCATATTTAAGCACTTTATGCTTCCATTCAGATTTATTATGCCACTGGACTTAGGTGCAAAAGGAAGCTGCCAGATTGGTGGAAATGTTTCAACCAATGCAGGTGGTTTGCGCCTTGTTCGCTATGGATCACTTCATGGAAACGTACTTGGTAAGAAACACACATAACTTTGATGTTTGACATTCATCTGCTTCAAAAGTCATTGTTTATCTGAGTTTAGAATCCACATAACTTTAACCAATAATTATTGACTTAGGTTATGAATTCTTGTTTTGACTTCTGAAGTATTTTAGAGCTGCTAGAAACTTGGTCATGGTTAATTTTAATGACCTGGTTCTTAGTAATTCTTTTGTCAATAGTTGTTCTGCACTGAAGTATATTTTACCGTATCTTGCAGGTATAGAAGCTGTTTTGGCTGATGGTAATGTTATTGACATGCTTGGAACTTTACGCAAAGATAATACTGGGTATGACCTAAAGCATTTGTTCATAGGTATTTACTGAACACTTCATTTTTTCTTTCTATGTAGAGGACTGTGGTTCTTTTAGTGAGGATTGCATCTTATAATTTTTGTTTATCACTGACACAGGAAGTGAAGGATCTTGGGTATTGTGACCAAAGTTTCTATACTTACCCCTCCAAAGTTATTCTCAGTAAATGTAGCTTTCCTTGCATGCCAAGATTACTTTAGTTGTCAAGTAAGATAGTTTCGTTGCACCAGAAATTCTCATCCTTCTTCATAAGTGTTACTAAATTAAGCCCAGTAGGATGCAGATGTTGATACCCAGTAATTGTTTTTCCTCTATAATGTTTATCAGAAACTTCTAGTGGAAGCAAAGAGGAAGCTTGGGGAGATTCTATCAGCTTTTGAATTCTTGGATAGCCAGTCACTGGATTTGGTCAGCTTTCTGTGACCAACTACATCTTTTCTTTACTAGTGCATATCAGGCTTTCATCTTCAGGCTTCATCTTTCTTCGCATTTTTGAATTTTGAAGAAATGTGCAGTTAAAATATCTATATTTGACTGCAAAAGTATATTACCTCTTCTATTTTGACTTCGATGACAATATGCTCCAGTACAAATATCAAGTGCATAGCACCGGGAAAGTTGGATAATTTGTGCAACGAAATTTGGCTGTTTTTGGACATAGCCTGAAACATTGACCAAAGAAAAAGAAAGCATAACCTAGAAAACCCTGCTGCCTTATCACTGTTTCATTGAAGCTTATTATACTTTACGTAACAGGTTCTGAATCACTTGGATGGCATCCGGAATCCATTACCTCCCACAATGCACAACTTTTATGTTTTGATTGAGACAACAGGCAGTGATGAAACTTATGACAGGTTGGCATCTTTTTATTCACCTGCGTGAGTGACAGAGCTTTTACCCTCACTTGTATTATTTTTTTTTTAGCATTGAGGTCTAGTTCCTCACATCTAATTTTTAAATGAATTGTGGTTAAAAATGACGAGACTGACACGCCACTGAAAATATAATCTCCACAGTATCTTTGGTTCGTAATTAACAATAAGCAGGATGCGAATATTTATATAAAACTACATGAGTTGTTTGGATACAGACAGAAGCTTGAAGCCTTCCTACTACATGCAATGGAAGCTGGTTTGGTTTCTGATGGTGCTCTAGCACAAGACATAAACCAAGCATCATCATTCTGGCGTATTCGTGAGGTAATATTTTCTCCTATTGTGGTTAACGAATGCGATGCTTTGCATTCGACAGTCAGGAGTCGATACGTAATGTTCATATAGAAACTACTTTTTTTCTCTCTGCTAAACCTGCATTTTACTGTCTGTTCCCAGCTATTGTTGTTGACAGTTGATACTAAACGTTCATTTTTCTGGTTGACTGTCTTTAGCTCAATAAAAAAATCTCTATCATTTTCTTGTCATTAACAGCTATTTAATACAAGAAGCAATAATTTCAGCCATCATGTCATTAAAATCTTCATGGATAGTCTTTGCCTCAAACAATTTTTTCATATACACAAAGAAGCAAATATTTCCATCTTTTCTTAAACGTCTTAAGTATGTCCTTCAGTCGGTCTTCTATTTGTGGTGGCAGGGAGTGCCAGAAGCTTTGATGAAAGCAGGAGCTGTTTACAAATATGATCTATCATTACCTGTTGAAAAGATGTATGATCTTGTCGAGGAAATGAGAAAAAGACTTAGTAAGTAAATGCATCTTGTTTGCTTACAATATGTGAATTATTTCTCAGCTTCTTGCTGCAGTGGCCATGTGACCTATTTAGGGTTGGGCAGTTAGGTTGTGGATGTAATGTGATCTTGCGATATCTATGTTTCTTTGTATTTGGAGGATAGTATTTTATATAATTATTTTTAAGTTTTAAGTTTTTGTATTTTAAATGTTTAGGTGATTCAGCTAACATAATTGGATATGGCCACCTAGGAGATGGTAATTTGCATCTCAATATTTCAGCTCCACAGTACGATGATAGGGTAAGTTCCTTCTACCATTAGTCAAAGAGCTACTTATATATTCAATTTATTGCGGTGTATTTAATATCTTCAACGAATTAGCAGATTTTGATGCAAATTGAACCATTTGTCTACGAGTGGACGTCTAAGCACCGTGGGAGCATTAGTGCAGAGCATGGCCTTGGACTGATGAAAGCTAATGAGATTTTCTACAGCAAGCCAACTGATACGGTGAGTGTTATTTAAAATGAGATGGAGAGTGACCTGCTTGGTTTCCCTCTGTTTCCCGCTTCGAAAATGTGCAGTTTCTTTATAGAAATGTGTAAACATATGATCTACATGGACAGGTGACACTGATGGCTTCCATCAAGAAAATGCTGGACCCGAAGGGATACTCAACCCGTACAAAGTTCTTCCGCACTCCTTTAGTTCCAGCTGAATTAAGGTTTGTGAATAGTCTTTTCCGTTCTTAATGTTTACACAATCATTTCCTCAAGACTGGTCTTGCATTGGTTTGTGAATCTAATGTGTAGAGCAAAAATGGCCACTGACCGACTCAAAGCCAAAACACGGAATTTTAGAGCTGACAAACTATGATGGACAACATTTTCCAGAACATTGGATTCGATGTTCTATAAAAATCTTATGTAACTAAAATTGAGAAACAAGATATCCAACTTGCTACGAGTCTTATATCCTGAATTGTAACTGCTTACCGAATAATGTAGCTCAAGCTTTTAGAGTTATACTTTGTGCAGATGAAACCGAGGCTTTCATCATCTTTACCCTCGAGTTGTCTCTTGTCCATTGCAACTTTACACAGCTAACTCATGTTTATGTCAACGGTTCAGTCGCTCTGGCACCCTCGAACTCCTGCTGCTAAATTTCAAATCCTAGCTCATGGCGCTTGCAAGCCAATATCACACTTTTCGTCTCCAGAGGTTGAATCTTCCCATCAACAATTGCTTCGAATTGGAATGGCTTGTTCTCATATTATGGGATTATGCTTAGTGCATGGTGCTTGCACTTGAGGATTGTATGCTTCATTTCTTGGTGTGAGTTAAGGCCATTGCCTTTGGTTGTCACTTTCGTTGTACCAGTAATAAGTGGGAGTACTTAGCTTCCGAAAATAATATAAATCAAAAGTTATTGGCTATGGCAAAGCGCGATGCCTTTAAACATTACACGATTCTGAAATCGCACGGAAACATGACACGATTTGATCGCTACTCTTAAGATAATTCTGATCAATGGTTATGATGAGGAGAGGAAAAGAATACTTGTAATAGGTGTTAAGAATCAAACATTGGAAGATTGAATTCCCAATGGACAAATTGTCCGGGAACATTCCATTAATCAAGGTAGTAGTATGCTTGTAATGACCCGTCCCTAGATATTTCGATTTTTATAATTTTATAGTGTGAATTTACGAAAATGTCCTTCGAGGAAAAAACGTTGATTTTTGTTAACCTTCATGTCGTGTCACGTAAGGTTCTTTTCCTTGGCGTATACTTGTAGTATTTGTCGTTACGAACATGTAAGTGCGAATAGAATCGAGTTCGGAGCAAAAACGAAGCTTCTACGAATTTTTGAATGTAAGGGCATTTTGGTAATTTTCCAAGTAGAGATATTTTCCACTTCGGACCACTCCCTGGCTGACACTTGGTAGGTTTTCTCCTAGGGTGCCCTTTTCTCATCCCGTGACTTCTCTCTCTCTAGAACTCTCTTCTCTCATCTTCACTCTCTCTCTTACTCTCAGCCTTTTCTTATCTCTCTATCTACAAATGCAGAGATCATGCCACACCATACCTTTCTCCCGTGAGCCACCCTACAGACCACCACCTCAACTCAAAGTTCTCTCTCTCACTTTAACTCTCTCAAATTCTCTCAGCTACCTTTCTCACTCTCATTCTCTGTAAACAGACACGCCACATCACTACCACCATTCGCTATTCTGACGAGCACCCCCACTTCACGGACTCTTTCCCCAACGATCGATGATGGACTCACGAACCCAGACCAGGCCGAGAAACCCCTTGTTTTCCCTCTCTCCCTCGTTGCATAGTACCATCACTATGCAAAACCGAATTTGACGAGTTATGGCCATCCTCTACGAAGGTAAGTCACGAACCATCCTTCGATCTTCTTCCTACGTGGTATAGATTACATAGTTGTTGAATAAAAATGATTTTGGTGAAGGTTTAAACATGAAAACAACTCGGGCAAGCATTTTCCAGATTTTCCGATAAGGGTCCGATGGCTTTCGAGCCATTTTCTGGCCGCATCTTAGTCCCATTTAGGTATATTCCGAATCTTTGTCTTCCTAGCTTTAATTTGGTTTTTAAATGGTGAGTTTTGATTAAGATTAGAAGCTAAACGGAGTCGGGGAAGTTTTCCGGCCAAAATTTCCAGTTTTCGACTTTCTTCTTCGTGGGTCTGGCTAACCCGTGAGCCCAATCGGATCCAACCCGACCCGCAACCCATGATCAGGCCCAACCCAATAACTAGACCTAATCCAATAACCCAGCCCAAACCTTTAGCCTATGTAAACCAAACCCTTGCCCCATTAACACTAACCCGGATCCAACCCAGCAACCGGCCCAACCCAGCAACCCAAAACCCAGATCTGATCTGGATCTAGCCCGACCAAGACCTAATGCCCTATTTTCCATGGTCAGCATGTGGGTACATGTTTTTCAACAATCTTCCTCAGGTCAGCGTGTGGGTTAGCATGACGCTATCATGGCCGGCGCGTGGAGCACACACCCCTCCGCCGAAGGTACTGTGCTCCGCCATCGTGGACGGTGGTGCTAGTGAAAATTTCGACGACTTTTCAGGTGACCCATATCGGTACTTGCAATGGCGCGTGGCCTCCCGAGGTCCCTTCTTAGGTTTTTCGACGTGCCAAATCCAAATTCATTGTCCGTTTTCCCAAATTTTATCGTTTTGATAGAGTTTTATTAAATGGCCTCCATTTGTGCTTAGGTGCGTCGGTGGAAGTGACACCGTCCTTTCTAGTTCGAGCGGCTTTCCGGTAACAAAATATCTATGAGTGGACCCTTTCTTAACTTGCATGTTTTTATAAAATGCTAGACTTGCATTCACAAAAAGCATGATTTCATGATTTAACGTTTTATGCATTATTTATGATTTATCGAATTTATGTTTTACGAAAGGTTATGAATTATTGGATTTCCGCTTTATGAAATATTACGGATTTACGAATATGGTTTATGATATGATGCCTTGAGCTTTTGAGCTCCGATGATTTGATGTGGAAAGATTATGTTTTACGTTTTCGGTGCTTATCTAGTGGGTTATCATACAACATTTACACATAATCGAGTATGTAGATGTATATGGCCATAGGACATAATTGAGGATATTTATGAAATACTCCTAGCTTCACTAGCCACGGCCAATGTCGGTGTGTTATGTATATATATGTATATTTCTTCTCTGGCGTAATCCAGAGTTGTACAGCTTCACCTTCAGGTGATGAACCTCTATATTTCTTCTCTGGCGTAACATAGAGTTGTACAGCTTCACCTTCAGGTGATGGACCCACTATATATACATATATATGTTTCTTCTTTGGTATAACCCAGAGTCGTACGGTTTCATCTTCAGGTGGCGTAACCCGGTGTCATACAACTTCACTTTCAGGGTGATAATTATGCCTTCGGGCCACTATGATACCCTAATTGAGTACATCATTGATGTGATTTACAGATGTTTTACAGATTTGCCTTCAAGCAACTAGATTACCATTATTAAGCACTGGTTTACACGTACACTGTTTTATGAATGTTTTTTATGGCATGCTAGAGTTTTCAGAAAACCTACTATGTAGTACCATATATGTGTTTTCAAAACAGAGGGTTAGTATGTTCAGAAAGAAAATGATTTTCATATTACTAGTACTATTATTATAAACTTTGGTCCACTCACCTTTTGATTTTGAGCCCTTTTAGAAGTTAGAGTCGAGGCACAAGATCCCGGCGTCAAGGATACATCCTGCATAGATATCTTTGAGTCTTCTTGATGTAGGATCCACTTTCTTTGTAATCTCATTTATTTTAAAATATTCCTTTTGTACTCTTCTTGATTAGTTGTATGCTCTGAACACGTTCCTGCAATTGCATACTTCATTATATTCAAATTTATATATTTTACTTACGTTCGTTCTTTTTAAATATAACTTGCATGCATGTTGAAATGACTTTGTCACCCTCGGATGTCGACTAGCACGTGCCTGCCCTGGTATATGAGGATATTAGGGTCGCGGCGTGTCAATGCTAATCCTAATTACACACATTAGTTTTCTTTACATGATAGAAAGATTCACGGATACTAGTCTTTTTAGGGTTTTATATTAAGGGCTGGTTTGGTATTGTTGTGCTTTGAAAAAAAAACTGTTTCTGCTCTACTGTGAGAATAAATAGCTATGAAATAAAGTAGTGAGTGTTTGGTAAACTTTTTTCTAAAAGTGCTTTTGGAGAAAAAAAAACAGTATTATAGTGTTTGGTAAACTTTTATGTAAAACAGATGTCACTGTATGAAATGACCAAAAATGATATAATACTAGATGTGCCATTAATTTAATTTTCTTAACAAATAAAGGTGAATTACTAAATATACTTTATTTAAAAAAAAAATATTTATAAACTTTATCTTAAACATATAATCCAACGTTTAACAAGAAATCATAATCTAACATTCAACATATAATCCAACATTTATAATATCTATTTACTATACAACTATTACTCTTTATCTTTTCTTTTATTATGGAATCATAATTTTTTATTCTATTTTCTTCTCCAAGATTCGATTATCCTCTTTTGCAAAACCTGTATTTTCTTTCCTCCTTCGCCGCCCACTCCCTCTCTCATCCTTTTCTCTTTTTCTCTCTTTGCCATATCTTAAGGAAGGCTGGGTCGCCGACATATTCCACTCCCTTATTAAAGACCACCACCGCAACAAAACCAATTGTAATCCCTTGAACACAATCCCTACTCTCTCGACGGAGATTTGGGAGGAGCTTGGTGACTAACTCGGTGAACGACTCAGTTGTCCATGGATGTGAATCGTTGACTTGAATCGGAAAGAGAGAGGATCTAAGTCTTCGGCTATAATCTAAATTGTGTATTGACTGGACCTGATGGGTGCTTGCGGGATCCAAACTCGAGAAGGTTCTTGGTGACCAGTTTCCAGAAGGCGAGCGATACTTCGGACTCGAGAATTTTGGCAATACCTGCTATTGTAACAACGTTTTGTAGGTTTCGATTCTGCATCCTCCAAATTCAATCGTTTTATTAGTGAAATTTTGAAATTAGGGTTTTGATTTTATTGAAATTGTGTAAATTTTGTGGTAGAACGAGAATTACGTGCAACATATGCAAATTTTGAGCTGTGGATGTTTTGAAATTGAGTAACAGAGAAGAGACGGGTGAGGGTAGGTTTGGGAATTTGGAAGTTTCATTTAATGAACACTATTCATTCGTGTTTTGGCGAAAAGAAGCCGGTCTTTTAAAGCTCATTTTTGCTACTTCACATTTTTCAGCTTTTTTCACTAAAAACTGTGAAAATAAGCTGTTTTTAAATGTTTACAAAACACCTTTTTGAGCTCATCTTTTTTTTATACCAACTTTTTATAAAAGCACCTTAGTATCAAATCAGTACTAAAGAGTTCTGACCCTATACCTAGTTTATTTCTGCCCACCGTCGGCATTAGGCTAATCCGAATGGCTTAAAGAAACTGATCTTCCTTTACTGCTTAGTGTGGAAATTCAAACTACTACTAAAAGCAATTTTCGAGCAGAAAGTTGCCTTAGCTGCCCTTAGGTTTGATTTGGTTTTTAATTCGGCCGACCATGTAGACTCATGGTTACAACAATAGTTTAAAAACCTCAATGTTAAAAAAGATTTCAAGTTCGAATCTTTCCAAACCGCTGACGAATAATATTGAACCTTAATACATGAAGTTGGGTGAAAGTGGAACCTTAGTTAATAAAATACACAAACTGCCTTTCGGCTTTCACTTTCTAAGCAAAGTGGACACTGGCCAAGGCATATACTGAAATAAGAAAGGATAATTTGCCACTTGGTCTGATGACAACGAATCACGTACAAAGTTGTCACAACAGGATCTAATTCCCAAAATCTATTGAAAAAAAAGAGTTTTAACGAAAAGTTCACGGTACTGTTCCTTTTAACGAAAAATCATATTTTTACATTAAAAAGTCAATTATGATACTATTCACTTTACCCTTTATTTTGTCCTTATCATTAAAACTCAAAGTTTTCAAACCCTTTTCATTAGTTTTCATTTGAAAAAAGGTCAAATAAAAACTAGAGAGAGTAACCATCATGGCTGAGTAATTGGAAACGAATTTCAAGTTCGTATTACACACAGTACGTCCTGGATTCAATTCATGGTGCTGGTGTATCATACGATGGTGGTTAGGAAAAGCTGAAATGTCTATGTGAGTTTTCCTGACCCCAAAATGATGAACTACCGTGGCGAATAACTGGTTCTCTTATTAGAAGACGAAACAACATCGTGTGGCGAGGCACGCATCAAAAGAGCCTACTTGGCGAAGAAAAACATATGCGAATAAAGAATGGGAAGTGTTATTGGCACTTCAAAAATCTCATTCTACACTCCTCACAAGTGTGTTTTTCTTTCGTAATATAGAAAGTTTGAAATGTAAAATGATATTTTTGAAAGGTTAATAACAATTGGATAAATAATAAGAAAGATATAAAAGTAAAGAAATTGGATATGGGGCACACCCAACACCGGTTGTGAAACCAATCGTGGCCGCCCCGTCCCCTCCCTTTGTCCCTTTCCCCGTCTCCCCCTCTCTCTCCCTCGTCAACACCTCCACATTCTCTCTCTCTCTCTCTCTCTCTCTCTCTCTCTCTCTCTCCAAGCATGACCAGCTCCTCCGCCTCCGGCCGCAAGGTTTGCCCTAATTTCACACCCAATCACTTTTCCATGCAATTTCTGTTTCTGGGTTTTGTTTTTTGATTGGGTTTTTGGGTTTTGGATTTTTCAGACTTTGAGTAAGATTGCTTGCAATCGGCTCCAGAAAGAGCTTGTGGAGTGGCAGGTCAATCCTCCCGCGGGCTTCAAGCACAAAGTCACCGATAATCTCCAAAGGTCTTCTCTTTTATTCTTCTACTTTCTGTTTGTTTATCGAGAAAGGATAATTCATTGGAATTGGAGGAATAGTAGGATTCAGAATTTACATAGTGTTATACTTATTGGGTCTTTGGTTTTGGGTTTAAATTACCCCCTTTTAAACTGTTTTGACGAGGGAGATTGAAATTCAACTGCTTAGGGTTTATGTTGTGTATATTTGCCTTCAATGTTTGTGTTTTTCTGCTGCAATTACTTTGGTTCAATTCAATTACTGTGTTTTGGGGATTTGTGATCCAAAAGGTGGGTGATTGAAGTCAATGGAGCTCCTGGAACTCTCTATTCTAATGAGACCTTTCAGCTTCAGGTTGATTTTCCTGAGCATTACCCAATGGAAGCCCCGCAGGTCTGTGCAAATCCATCTGATTGTGTGATATGAATTTGCTTCAACATATATTTGCAAATTAGTTGTCTTGCGTAGTTTTGATTTTCATAAAGCTGGTGACTTAACTGGTTTTGGTGTGTAAACTTGTGGCGGCTTGAACAGGTTATATTTGTCCCTCCAGCTCCACTACATCCTCATATTTATAGCAATGGTCATATTTGTTTAGGTAATCTATGGGTTTCAGTTAAGCATTTGATAGCTGATTTGTATTTAATTACATCACAAAAATCTTTCTTTTGCTGGATTGCTTCACTCACTCATTTGTTGAAACTTGTCCTTATAATGGACTTACATCTTCCGTTGTTGCTTCTCTTTTTTTTTGTTTAACGCATAATTTATCATCATTGTTTGAAACATGTGGTAAGTGTTGCCTGAAAGTGTTGTACCTTTATCTCAATCTCTTGCTGCAAAAATGTAGTTTTCAGCTAGCTAAACAAATTTTGTTTGAGATAATAAATTATTTTTCTGGTATTGCCTAGTAAAGCTTGGCAATGGAAATCCAACTGAGTATTGATTTTTGCTGTAGTTTACTAGGCCATGGAAATCCAACTGAGTGTTGATTTTTGCTGTAGGTTTGGTTGGTCACTGCCTTTCTGAATATGTTCAGTCTGTTAACTGAGCTAAATTTGTATTTACCAGAGATTTGAATAAGTATATTAGATACTAAACCGGGGATGGTATACCTTAACAACATCTTTAGGTTGTCATTACTTACTGCGTGCTGTATCAAACAGTATCTTGAACCATTATGAATCCAATGAGTGAAAGTTTTAGTTATACTGTATTTAAGACAATATATTGTTTCATTTTACCCTCACGGCCTCACATAATGTGATCTATTGTTGATATGGAATCTTGTAGATATTTTGTACGATTCATGGTCACCAGCCATGACTGTTAGTTCCATCTGTATTAGCATTCTCTCCATGCTATCAAGCTCCACCTGTGAAGGTTTGTGTTGTACTTCTCTAATTTTTGCATTTTTGGTGATTTCAGTTCTTTTAACTAGCAAGCTAGATCATGTCCCGTCATTTATTCTGCTAAAACATTCAAACAGGGAAGATAACTAATCATTATTTTGTGAAAGATGGACATTCTGATTATGAATTAAATGGTCTAATAGATTGTGAATATTTTGGGGATGCGTATCTGAAGCCCTTTTGTGTATGCCTGCAGCAACGTCCGGAAGATAATGACCGGTATGTAAAGAATTGTAGAAATGGCAGATCTCCCAAGGAAACGAGGTGGTGGTTCCATGACGATAAAGTGTAATAACCATGCACTGTCTTCCGTCATTTGTCAAGAAATTAGAGTAATTGGCTTTCCTGTTCGAAGGACAACGAAGACAAAAGAAAAGAAGCAATTATCCCAATTGCTGAGTAACTCTTATAAATTGACAATGCCCGGTACTTGTAAAGAGAAGGGAACAATTTGTGTTTCGACTGATTTGTAAGGAACAAACTGAGGTCAGAAGTTGGTATAAGCTTTTATAATTTAAGCCCCTTTTCTTCCTGAGTGTTTTTTCTAGACTTGCTCGCCTCTCGTCAAGGGAAGTGATTACTGTTGGCATGTGTCTTCCTGGATTGTTATACCATACTAATACTGTCGTGTGTTGAGTGTTTTTCGTGTGTTTTCATTGTGCGCAATACAATTTTCATAGCGAACGCTTTATTGGAGGTGTTGTAGCTGAGTATTTTCAGTCTTGTGATTGTGTATGATTAGTCTACGTATACTCGTCACGAAACACATTTGCTGCTTTAGGGATTTGTTACCATTGATGAGAAGTGATGCTGCTTTTTAGCTTTAGGGATTTGTACCAATTTGTGTGCAGTATTCAGGTTAAGTCGTTTATTTTCTGAGCAACTCTGGAAGTGAAGTTCTGTGAATCTCTTTCGTCTTTCAAGGTTTACAATTTTTCTTGAATGTGCAATATTCAGGGAAAGTGGTTCAATTTAGCTCATTTAGCACACTGCCTTGCTGTAAAACGATCAATCTCTTCTTCCTTACATGCCCACGCACACGCATAATCTCGTTCTCTTGTCAAACATTAGCTGCGAGTTGGCTGTCTACCATGAGCCTTGAGCACCCAATGTTGGATTCTCGAAAGCAGAGAAACCCCAGAATGTCTTCAAAGAGTAGGGCTGAGAGACTGTTGCACCTTCTTCAGTGATTTTAGCTATCTGCAATTACACGTTTCAAATGTGTGATCATCGTCAAAATTGGCACCTATCATGCTAACCTGAAGATAAAAAGTATGACCTGATTCAGGATTTGTATTCTTGGAAAAAGAAAAACATATCTTCTAAAAGCACACAGCATGAAGGTTTCCAGCAACTCATCGTTGTGGTTGATGAGAGGACTGAGGGCTCGTCTGAGGAGTCCAAGAGAAGGCTCCGGGAGAGAAGGGAAGGAGAGAGAGCAGAAAGTGGATTCGATATCAAAAATATGTTACGGAGGCAATTGAATCACACTGGCATTACACGCGGGAATCGGTTACAGCATGGGATTTCAATTCACATAGATTTTCTTCTAGGCCTAAAACCAATGTAATGTGTCTATACTACTAGTGTGTGTTGCAGATATCTTTGGGACGGTATATGGCGGTTCGGAATTTGAAGAGAAATATCAATGGGTTGGAGAAGGAGGAGGCTGAAGCTGTTGTGGAAATCCAACAGGAAGAGCAGGGGGATAAAGCCCCGGAGCAGGCAGATAAAACCCCGGAACAGGGTGATAAAACCCAATTGGAGAGTAATGGGGTCAACGAAAGCAGCAGCAATAAGAGTTCTGAAGGATTTGTGAGGCGAAAAATAAATGGGAGTGTACGGAGGAAGATGAAGAAGACTAAAAGCAAAGGTGGCGAGAATGGAGGAGCTGCCAATGATTCCAGTGCCGCTGCAACTGCTGCTGCTCCAACTGCTCCCGATGAGAAAAAGTTTACTCGTGTACTCACTTTGAAAGAGTATGAGAAAATGAAGGCAGAGAAGGACAAACCCGCCGTTATCCAGCAGCCCTCGAAGTCTGAAGATCAACACTAGCATCCTCAATATCGCCAGCAGCACCCTGCATATCATCAGGACCACCCCGCATATCATCATCAGAACCACCCTACAAACGATCAGCAGAACCGCCCTACATATGGCCAGCAGTATCCTGCATATCAGCAGAACCGCCATGCATATCACCAGAACCGCCCTGCATATAACCAGAATAATGCAGGTCAGTTTAATAAGCAGAATGACCGCTCCTGGAATCCAGAGAAGGATCGAAGAGGGAAGCAAGGGTTTGAAGGAAATCGTTCACGGCAGGCAAAGCCAAAGGCTCCGTTCGAGTTGGATAATATTGCTGAATTTCCCTCCCTCAAAAAGTAAATAGTTTGTATTCCCTCAGGGGGAGAGGGAACGGCGTGTGGATTTCCTAGATGAGGGGTAGAAGTGCTAATAGAGGCACGATTTTGGATTGTGACGAAAACTGGTTCACTCGAAATAAAAAGCTTTTGCAGTTTTGCCTTATTAATTTTCTTGTTACGTAATGTGTTTTAAGCTTTAATTCTTTGGCCAAATCAAGATGGTTTCAAATCCAGCCATAGTAGCAAGAGTTTTGCTCTAATTAAAACACATAGTTCTTTGCTGTTGATCAGGTTGCATCACAAATTTTTCTTTATTTTAAGCTTTCATTCACTTCATCAGAAATCATCTTATGAAGATTGATTGCTTAGAGAATTGAAACTATCTTTGTATGCAGATAGAAACCAAATCGAAAAGTATTGCCCGGTTAGTGACAGCTAACTATTCAGTACTCATAAACTGAGGTCGTTTCTTAATATTATCCAGACTAAGATTTAAGTAAAACGTCATTTGTTTTGGCTGATTTTACAACCTGATAGAGAAGTGAACTTAGATGAACTTGAGGATTGCATCAGAGGGATGTGGAAGGTCATAAACTGAATGTTGTCACGGCGTTTGGACTGGATTTCTTGCCATGCCCAGAGCTTAAGTTTTCACCTTTTCATCTCTTTTTCTCTACTGAATTTGCAGTATTCTATTGAGCAATTGTCAAAGTTTATCTTCCAATGAATTACTGACCAAGGGAACTATTGAATATGTAAACTCAAATTCTGCCTGACCTAGACCTACTGTTTCCGCTGTAACAACTGCCCACCCTTGTCTTTCACTACAATACACTAAATCAATCCTCGGTTTTTAATTTGTTCCGTCAGAAAGAGTAACAAAGGTTTTCGATTACTTTTATTCTCTATCCCTTATGCACATAACCAGAAGTTCATTCAAACAATGAACTTGGTATGCAATCCAGATCCTCAATAGTGAGTGTGTTATTAATTTGTTTTACATTCTAGGGAGAATATATGAGGGATAAATATAAATAATATGCTAAGAAAAATCGCCCAGATGCACTTGAGCGATTAAACACACATTAACAGTTGACAGCTCCAACCCGTTAGTTGGCAAGTTGTACACTCAAAGCGGATAATTTTCATCTTGTATTTGACTTCACTGCACATCATATTTTTGCAGGCTCAACTTGTCACGGGTATGCGAACATTTAGACTGTGCTAGCAGAAACATTCATTTTTCTTGTTTAGAGTTTGTAATCAGAATTTTCAAAATGAATAAATGCATTACTGTAGTTTTTCACTAGGATATTGGACCGCATGCACTTGAAATGCATTAATTGTATACATATTTGATATAAGATTATACTATTACCCTTGTATTTGAATTATAAAATTTTTGTAACATAAGTGACCATAAAAGCACTTTTTGAATTGTGACCAAAACTAGTTCAATTGAAATAAAAAGTTTTTGCATTATTTTTACGAAGCATTCAAAAGTGATTTTTTTTTTTCTTGTACAAAACCAAAAGTGACATTTCAAAATTCTCTAGTTTACGAAAAGGGTAATTCTAATCCGAGTGCGAGGAAGCTAGCACATTGGCGACTTTTGCAGAATTTTCAAGGCTGCCTATATTGTGGACACATCAGTAAGGGTACAAGGTGTAATTAACCCTTAAAAACAGAGCAATCATAGAGATGATAAAGTACAAAATAATTGTTTGACTAAAATTTTTGTAGTGCTAAACCAACAGCTCAAATTTCTCATCTTCGACTATTACACTATTGCCCTCAAATCTACCAACCGCGCCAACCTTTTGTCGAATAAACATTTAAATTATGCACAAACCAATCAACCATTTGTTGAATAAACCGTTGATTGAACAATCTCTCTCTCTCTCTCTCTCTCTCTCTCTCTAAACCATGGATTTCATGATAGAGGTGAATCACCAGAGGATCAAAACCAATGGAATATGGCTTCATGTAGCAGAAAAAGGGACAGGTCCTCTGGTTCTCTTGCTTCATGGCTTCCCTGAGCTCTGGTATTCCTGGCGCCACCAGATCGAATACTTGGCAGAAAACGGCTATCACGTGGTGGCGCCGGATTTGAGAGGCTACGGTGACTCTGACGCTCCTCTCAACCCCAACTCCTACACTATCTTCCACATAGTAGGAGACCTCGTTGGCCTACTTGATCATTTTGGTCAACAAAAGGTGAGAAGCTTTTTCCCTACTGGAAGTGATTCCCGCACCACCCTTTTCTCCCATATATATTTCTGATATTTGGATTGAATAAATCAAATAAAAAATTAAGAAAAAAGAAAAAAAGAATAAAGAGAGGGAAAAGGAGAAAAGAGCTGTGCAGAAATCATTTTCCTTTCTCGAACCCAAATTAAATTATGTATGGGGGGGTTTAAGGATTTTTAATCTTATGTTATGCTGTGATTTGAGAAGGCATATGTGGTGGGACATGATTGGGGAGCAGTTGTTGGTTGGAATTTGAGCTTGTTTAGGCCTGATAGAGTGATAGGGCTGGTTAATCTATCAGTTCCATACTTTCCAAGATCTCCAACAACCAAAACTACCGAAGCCATAAGACAATTTTTTGGTGATGGAAGCCATGTCATTCAATTCCAGGTACTTACCTGAACGTGCGGTCGAAGTTCACTATCTGACAAATATATGTATGCATAAGTCACTTAATTTTCGTTTCTTGGCTGAGAAGGAACCAGGAAGAGCAGAGAGAGCGTTCGCGAGGTATGACTATATGACAGTGATGAAGAAGTTCCTGCTGGTAACCAATAAAATGATAGCTCCTCCAGACATGGAGTATATCGATTACCTGGAGACACAGTCGTCATTGCCGCCATGGCTAACTGAAGAGGATATCCGGGTCTTCGCTGAAAAATTTGAGGAGTCTGGATTCACCGGTCCTTTGAACTACTACCGCGCAATGGACCTGTAAGTGTACAAAAACTTCCCCATTTATTCCCAAGCTAAATTGTTCTTCAAAATATGCTTTAGGTACAACCATCATATGGTAGGAGACATATTTTATTCCAGTAGGCTATTAGAACATAATCAAGTTGAGCCTAGAGAACTATAGAATATTTTTTTTATTCGACTTATCTAAACTACGGAAAGAGAGATTCAAAATTGGGTGCAGAGGAAGAACACACTTGCCTACGCCCAAATTTGCAAAGAAAGTCTTTTTCTTTAGTAAAATGGAGCCAGCTCAACTGCCTGCATTATGTTTTAGTCCTTGTGTTATGTTGGCTAATACTTGTGGTCATGATACACAGAACTTGGGAGCTTCTTGCGCCCTGGCAAGGATCGAAAATCATGGTACCGGTGAAGTTCATGGTCGGGGACAAAGATTTCGGGTTTAAATCAGGCGGAACAAGTGAATTTGTGCAAGGTGATGAGTTCAGGAGCCTTGTTCCGGACCTTGAGGTGGTTATTGTGGGCGGCCACCATTTCATTCAACAAGAGAACCCTCAAGAAGTCTCCAGCCAAGTACTTTCCTTCCTCCGTCAACATCCTGCAGATGAGTGAAATTTTCGTAAAGTGTGTTTCTGCTTGAATGATAGCTTCTCCATTTTTTATAACTTTTTGTTTTTCTAAAGACATGTACAAGATCCGTTCATAACCTCATGTGATAAACTCTGGATTTCGGGAATTACACTTGGCATGCAAAACCGAAGCTACCAACTGGATTTCTTTTTTGTAAGGCCCTACTTGTGTGCTGCTACGTCATCTGATGTGAAGAGCACAAGATTGACATTGACAATGATATTGATGGATAAGTGAAAAGTTTCGTAAACATCAAAAACTACTTGCGATAAAAACTCAACTAGTTCAGAGTAAAGAAAATATTGTGATGTAAGCGGAATTCGCATTTCCAATACAATCACAAGGGAACAGTGAAAGCACAAACAACCATATAACCAAGTCACCACTTCTTAATCATTTTACTACAAATTATACGGATCCAACTTTGGAACTACGTAGCATTTGATGCTACGACTTT